CAGTGTGTCTAAAAGACTTTAAACAAAAATATAATTTAGTAACACACATGAGAATTCATACAGGAGAAAAACCATATCAGTGCTCAGTGTGTCTGAAAGACTTTACCCAAAAAAGTAATTTAGCAACGCATTCAAAAATTCATACTGGAGAAAAACCACATCAGTGTTCATTGTGTTTCAAAGCCTTTTCAGAAAAAGTCAGACTAATAAATCATACAAGAGTTCATACAGGGGAAAAACCATATCACTGTTCAGAGTGTCCAAAAATCTTCTCACAAAATAAAGAACTTGTTAGACACATGAGAATTCATACAGGTAAACAATTATATCAGTGTTCTGAGTGCTTGAAAGACTTTTTACACAAGACTGACCTAGTTAGGCACATCAGAATTCATACAGGAGAGAAACCATATCACTGTTCAGTATGTCAAAAAGACTTTTCTGAAAAAGCAAATCTTGTAAAACATGCAAAACTTCATACAGGAGAGAAACCACACCATTGTTCGGTATGTCTAAAAGATTTCTCAGAAAAAGCAAACCTAATAAAACATGCAAGAACTCATACAGGAGAGAAGCCATATCAGTGTTCAGAATGCTTTAAAAACTTTACACAAAAGTCCTCCCTAGTAACACACATGAGAATTCACAAAGGAAAGACTCCATGATGCTTTTCACTCAGTTTAAAAGATAATTATTAAGTGTCCTTTGTTAGCATATGTAAGGAGAACCTTAGTTATATTTATTACATTTAAAACAAACTTTCTAGTAACAAAAGAGAACTCGTAAGAGAATCAAACCACTGTTTGTTGTATTTAAAGAAAGGTAATAATCAGGAATATAACTTGTACGTTTGAAGAATAGAGGCACTGTTATGCTGTGCTCAGAAGAGTAATCTAAATTCTAGTTTGATGTTAGAGATTTCATTCAGAGAAAAGCTGTGTGTTTTAAAAACTTTTTTCATAGATGAAAAATACCTTTATAAATGCATCTTCTTAGAGTATATATATAAACATATTTTTTTCTAACCAAATATAAGTATACTTTGAGCATCCCTCATACAGAAGGTTTGGGGACAGAACTGTTTCAGATTTCGTAATTTTTTTGGATTTTGGAATATAATGAGATCTTGGTGAGGAGACCCAAATCTAAACACTAAATCTATTTATATTTCAAATACAGTTCCTCTTCAAGGGGGGCTCCTTGGCGTGGTGAAGAGGCTCTTGGTCTGAGGAATTAGACCTGTTGGTCTCCTTCCTCAGACCGAACCTAATTACCCCCCAATCCCCCCTTCCTTCTCCCATCCTCCCCTTTTTCCTTTCCTCCTCCTCCTCCCCACCCCTCCCTTTTGCCCTTCCTTTTTGGCCTTTGGGATTTTTTTCCCACAGGCACGCTAGTTCCTAGGTAGGGGAAAGGGTACCGGGGTCCATCCCATTCCGTTGAGGTTCTTGGTGGTGGCGTAGTTTGCCGTGGAATATGGATTGCCTGGGGATGTCCCGATCCCTCTCCGGTATCCCGGAGGGTGGCTTTGGGTGTCTCTCGGGCGACGGGTGTATCTCTGGAAGCCACCTTTCAGATTCTGGGGGTGGTGGCCAAAGGAGGTATGCTTTGTGGCAGATATCCGGCCGCCCTCTCTTTTGTCCACCGAGGTAGCTCAGCAGATGTGTCCTCTTCAAGGGGGGCTCCTTGCTGTGGTGAAGAGGCTCTTGGTCTGAGGAATCAGACCTGTCGGTCTCCTTCCTCAGACCGAACCTAATTACCCCCCAATCCCCCCCTCCCTATCCCATCCTCCCCTTTTTTCTTTCCTCCTCCTCCTCCCTACCCTCCCTTTTGCCCTTCCTCTTTTTGGGCCTTTGGATTTCTCCCACAGGCTTTGTTATTCCTAGGTAGGGGAAAAGGGAAAAACCGGGGCCCACCCATTCGTTGAGTTCTTGGCGGGGGCCCGTAGTTTCTGTGGAATCTGGATCGCCTGGGATGTCCCGACCCTCTCCGGTACCCTGGGAGTAGCTTTGGGTTTGTCTTTCGGGCGCGGTGTATTCTGGAAGCCACTTTTTGGATTTCGGGGGGTGGCCGAAGACGTATTGGCTTTGTGGCGGAAAATCAGCTGCCCTCTCTTTTGTCCACCGAGGTACTTGGCAGATGTGAGGTTGCTTTTCCCGGGATTGCTGGTTTACTGGCATAAGGGTAGGTATGGAAACAGTTCCATGCTGCTGCATCTGCGCTACTAGGTGCTGAGGTCCTCTTGGCGTTTGAGGGAGATTTCTGCCCTTTCATTCCTCCGGGAACTATTCCTCCCCGCTTCCCCCCTTTTTTATTTTTTTTTTTTTATTTTTATTTTCTTTCTTCTTTCTATTTTTTTTCTTAAAACACAAAAAGCAAGGAGTAACCTAACCATGGAGAACCCAACCATGAACCCACTAACCCCGGGCCCTTCTTGTACCGCACCCCTTTCTGACCTTGCCTTGTTTTTTAGACCACTTAGGACACCCCATGATGCCCTGTACCTCTTGCTGGTGCTGTTTCCTCACCCGCCTCAGGTACCGGGGCTTCGACTGACTCCTTCGATTTGTCTGAACCCACTCTCCTTTGACTATGCTTCCGGCTTCTCCCTCTAGGGACGGCAATTTTCGATCGCCCACCCTTTCACGCCGACCAACCCGGTCTACTCCTAAACGCCAACTTTCATCTCCCTGATGATGCTCCTTTGTTACCTTCCCATTCTACTTGGAAAGACCGACACATCAAGCACTCCTCTCCACGCTCAGTTTCGGACCACACAATGATTAAATTCTTTACTTAAGACCGACCGACTTCTTCTGCCTACCTTTCTGACCATAGTAATGGCAAAGCCTCCGCACATGTTGGTAGAGATATTTCATTCATCTCTCAAGAGGGGTTACGCGCATCGTCACTGTCCCGAAAGTTTACCCAACTCATGATCTTTCTCTCCTTTCGATATCAATACTACTCCTATCACTGTTGAAAACATTTACTCTCATTCTTGAGTGGTACTGTCATTCTGCCCCATACCATAGTCCAACAAAAATTTCCAGTCATGGGGCAATGACATTTTTGAACAGCTGGAACTCCGATCTCCCAACCCTCAAAGTAACATTATGTTTCCTGCCCGGGGCGGAGGACGTTTACCCTTCCCAATGTGGCTCGTTTTAACTTTTACAGCCGAGAACTCCCCGTCCTTCTTTATATGTCGCGGGACATCGGTTCAAGTTCGAAGGTGATACCTACACCGCAAAAATGTAAATTGCTGGCTTTTGGTCACCCAGCGAAATATTGCAGATCTAGGGCCCGAATGCCTCTGTGGTGCCGACACCATTCTAATACTTTTGCAGTCAACCTCCATCTTGCCTTAATTGTAATGAAGCTCACCCTTCGTACTCCCCCGTTGCCAGGCTACTAAATGAAGGGAAAATCCGTTCCCTCAAGAGGCAGAAGGTCTCCCTTATACTATGCAGTTACTCATCTCCGCCTCAAGGAGCCTCCCCGGTTTCTTATCTCCTGTTTCCAACATCCCCCCACTTCGGGGTCCCATCTTTCTGCAGCCTCTCTTTGTTACCCCTCCCTAGCCACTCCGGCATCTAATCCTTTTGCTGTCCTTGCTCTAAACGCCACTACAACTCAGTCTGTTTTCACATCTTCGGGGTCCTTCCTCACAAGCCCAGTATCAACAAAGACCTCTACGACACCTAATACATTTCGCCCCTATATTTCTCAGAAGTCCAAAAATATCCACATTGCCCCAAATCTTCTTTGCCCTTCCTCCCTTCCCACCTCCACACTTTACCTTCCAGTCTCTGTACCTAGTTTCTTCCCCTTTTGGCTCTATTACAAGGTGGAGATTCACCTCCTCCTCGTACTATGCTTCCACCCCGTCCCCCACCCCAAAAGTTTCTCCTCTTCTGCCACCTCCCAGGTTTTCTGCCTCTTCTGTCCAACCCCCACATTCATCTCCAGGCCCTTTAAACACTCTTCCCTCCCCCTCACTTTGGTACATTCCATTACTGTCCCAATTTTTATCACCCTCCTCCTTCTATCCCCCAATATTCTCCCATACATCTTGAAATTCAGAAACACTTGAAGCCATTTCAGAATATATTGCAGGACTAAACCTTCAATAGACACGATTCATTCCGTTCCTTCTCTTCCCTCTCCCCTCTTCAAACCCCATTTCGCAACGCTCCGTTCCCTTCGCTACTTGAACGTTCTTCCAATGCCACCACACGTTGACTTTCTAACCCTCTAGTCCGTAGGTGCCTTTACCTCCCGATTCCTGGTTTTTTTTCTTCATCGCCAATCATAGCCTATTTACAGTGGAATATCCGCGGCCTCAGGGGTAATCGGGTCATTCAGATGTTGCTTTCCAGGTTTTCCCCTGTTGGTGCTTGCTTACAAGAACCAAAATTACACTCGGCTGTTTTCCCAAAACCTATCTCAGGCTATAATTTATTGTATTCTTCAGATCCTTTCTCAGATGGGACCTTTAATGAAAGTGCCCTTCTTCTACGCAATGATATTCCGTACTGTCAACTATTTGTCCATACCTGCTGCATTACACTGCACCCCGTATCCACTTGAATAAGTGGTTTACAATATGTTCTTTATATCTCTCTCCTCTCGAGCTTTTTCTACCCCAACTTTGCCTTTCTTGTTTCATCCTTACCACCACCACTTCTGTTACTTGGTGATGTTAATGCCCAACATTTCCTTTGGGGGGGTCTCATTGTGACTCACATGGCATCCAGTGGAGGCTTTTCTCGCCTCTCACCCCCTCCATGTTTTAAATACGGGTACTCCCCCATTTTGATCCTCATACTCATACTCTCTCTTGCATCGATCTATCAGTCTGCTCTTCCTCCATGCACTAGACTTCACCTGGTCTGTTCTACCGGACTTACATGACAGCGATCATTTTCCGATCATTCTTCTCCTTCCTATTCACCACCTTTCCGTAGCCCTCGCTGGCAATTTGATCGGGCAAAATTGGGATCTTTACTCCACCTCACTCTATTAGTGGGGTTCCTTCTTCATCCTCATTGATGAGCTCCTACATCTTCCCCGACGTCATTTTTATACCCCCTTTCTCATTCTATACCCAAAACCTCAGGCAGTATTCTCAGAAGTGTGTGCCTTTGGAGGACTCCTTGCTGGCTCGTGCAGTACGTTTGAAACGTGCTGCATGGGCAGGTACAGTACAATAGAACCGCGAAGACTTTCTTGATTTTAACCCAAAGCGTGCCAAATTCGCTCGCCGTGTCATCTGTGAAGCTAAACGCACTTGTTGGCGAGACTAGTTTCCACATCACCCTCTCTTCCTTCTATGAGTGCAGTCGGAAAAGTGAGGAAATGAGGGGTAAATACTCTCCTGACCCGGCTCCTGTTCTACGGGTCACTGGTGTTGATGTAGCAAACCCCTTGACGTCATTGAACTTGGCACACATCTGGTCCGTATTTCCGAGGGCTCCATCTATGCCCCTCGTTTCTTTCCTAAAAGTCTGCCAGAGAGTTAGTACCCTTGGACTTTTCTTCTCTCAGAGAAGAACATATAATGTCCCTTTTTTACACTTCAAGAACTGGAGGCAACGCTCTCAGCTTGCGATCATTGCAGCGGGGCCTGACAACATTCATATTCGTATGTTACAACATTTACATCGGTCAGCCCTTGTAGTCCCCTTACACCTCTTCAATCTTATTTGGGCACAAGGAGTTCTTTCCAGCTTGGAAATCTGCCCATTTTTCCCTCCCTTTCCGCAAACGGGTACTACAGGACAGGGATGCCTCCCACTATCGTCCATCGCTCTACTAGTGCAGTTTGCAAAGTGATGGAACATCTCGAAAATCACGTTTAATGTGGTATTTAGAGACACACAACGTCTCTCCGCTAGTGAATATGGCTTTCGTAAGGGTCGTTCTACCATAGACCCCCTTACTACGCTTGGATATGTATGTTCGAATCCCTTGCAAAAAAATCACTCAGTTATTGCCATATTTTTTGACCTTTGAGAAGGCATATGACA